GATAATAACATGTATAATCTACATAAGTAACCTTAGTTTGAATTCCTGGAAGTGGAGATTTCTGGAAAGCGTCTATCAAACCTTTGCCACCGAATATATCGACCAGCCTTCCTTCAGTGACTGATTCATCTCTTTGCTAAGTGTGGTGGATTTGATTTCAATTTGATATAAAAAGATAAAAAAATTTTAAAAAAGTTGGCGGAGAAACATTTATTAGAGCCCGGCATGATTTTGAAAGACAGCCAGGCATGTGTGGCCACAAAAAAATGCTTTCGTATTTTGTTTTGTCCTTAACGCTACGGGAATATTAGCGCATGCTGGCCCAAAAAGAGTAGTTATCATCAACTAACTAGAAAAAATGCAGAACTTTTAAATTGTGTTTTTCGTCGATCAGTAATCTGTAAGTACTTCTGGAGTAGCAGTTACAGATCAGTGAATAGATGTCTCAACTACACTTCATTCAGTTTGCTAATCTAGCCTTGCATTTATCAGGACGAGCAAAATCCTTGAATAATACAAACGTGTTCGATAAAGTCTTTTGAAATTTCTTTTGCTTTGTCTTACTTTTCCTTACTCGCTTTTGTGGTCTCTTTTTATGTATTTTTGTTGGACTTTTCTGTTTCTCTGTGGCGTATGGCGACGACGCATATAGTACGTGATTTTAACCCTGTTGCTCTGGATGTAAGGACACTGTGGGCAAATCAAGACTCAACCGTACACAACCTCGACATACCTGTGTAGATGCCTAACGACTATTCTCGCTTTCATTGATACAGATGATATTAGGTACTTCAAACTTTACTCTTATTCATATTGATAGAGCTGCCGAATAAGTTGCCCGACTAAACCATGACTATCATCATATTACGACAACAATGATAATAACAAGCAATATTAATTTTATAAAATTTTAGACAGAGCAGGACCCACCTCATCGAAGAGCTCCTCAGTGAGGTCCAGCACCTCAAGAAAAGGAAATGTAAAAATATTTGACGAGGTTAAAAATGAAAATCATTTAGAAAGATGTGGATTTGAATATGGTGGCATATATGCATACGAATGTACAAATGAACCACATCCAAAATTCGAATTTTAACCGTGATTTATGAGGTAGTCGCATCACAGCTCAGTTTATTCCAATAATTAATCAATACTTCTGTGTGTGAACCGTCGTTTAACCTAAGTAAACGATGGCCGCCAGTGTAGACCCCAGATAGAGTGACACTTATCCTAATTAAAAAGAATTCTGCCAGAGTTTCTGTGAGATATTGTCAGACTGCTGATCAAAAATGAGTGAGTAACACTGTTTATTTCTATGAGAGATATTGTCAGACTACTGATCAAACATGAGTAAGTAACACTGTTTATTTCTATGAGAAATAAAGCTCCCCTTAAATAATGAAACCCATTCACAACTTTTTACCAGTTTCTTGCTAATAAATGGTAAACATCCCAAAACCCCTATTAGAACCTACCATTGAAGTTTTCGTAAGAAGCTATTCTTGTATGCTGTGTGCCTGGTATCAACTCAGTGAAGAACATACAGCCGATGCTATGGATTTACCTGGATCTTGTCCATTTAGAATAAAATTTGTTACCTCAAAGAGTAAGAGGAATTTTGCTTACGTTACTTAGTTATATGATTTTTTATCATTTCATCATAGTTGTGGCAGCGATTCTGTCAGCCAAGACCTCGACGACACATTGTCATACAATTGTGCAAACAACAGTGTAAATGAAACATTCTCACTCAAAACTTATCGGTATTTTGGGGCAGATGAAAATGCTCTGGTTTACATCCACTGTGATTTCAGAGTTTGCTTGGCAGATGTACCCGATACCAAATGTGAATGTCCAGATGATGCTGCCGCTTGCGTAGGTGATCCTTCCGTTGATGTTACACCGGTGGGGCGTAGACGTCGTTCAATCTCCGATTCCGTGGATGAGTCACAGCTTTATCATGTTGTCTACGGTCCGTTCACCTTTAAGCAAGAAGAACTGAACAAAGATGAAGGTAAATGATAATTCACAGGGCTTTTAGCCATAGGACAGGAATTATGTTGGGTGCTTTCCACGTTCTCTGCTAACCGAGACTGGTTTTCCATGATAACTGACCAAGTCAGAAAAAAAGGCCGCACGGGGCAACTTGTAGAACCTTGAAGATAACTTGAACATGTCAAATATGATAGAAACGGAACGAAATGTAATATCATATATCGTAATGATGAATATAGAAAATTAACAAAGGCTGGATAAGAACCTCTGGAAAGACTATAGAAATTTTCCTTTCATATATTCCTAGTATCTCTGCCTTTATTGATAGACATGAAAGGTTTAACATTATAATCTACTTACGCCCCCGATGGTTTAGCTCAATGATTAAACCTGGAATCTATTTGCTTCATTTCAGTTGCACCTAAAGACCAAAAGAAGACCCACCAGCCTTCCCAGACTGTACCAATTGTTGGGGCAGTATGTGGTGTTGTGGCTGTAGCTGTCATCTGCGCCACTGTTTACCTTGTCATTCACTATCGCACCAAGCGCACGCAAAATGGAGATCTGCACGTGGTCACCTAAACTCCAAACACAAATAAGTTGTGTTGTGCAAACGCGCAAATATTATGTTTTTTAATCCAATATCCATTTGAATGGTGTGACATATGAAGCAACTCGATAGGGTTAAGTTGAGTTGTGGATGTTGATTAAGACATAAAATTTTTTTCTTTTTTTCAAACGAATAAATGATTAATCAGCTATTTTCTTCAGATGATGGTAGGAATCAAAAGTAGTTTTCAAAGCTAATGGAATTAATGTCTTGAATTCAGTGTCAAGGTTGATTTCGTTAGCTGCTTGTCACTCTTATTTGCGCGATCCAGATTAACAACCAGTTTTAATCGCTAATTGTTTCAACACCTTATAAACTTGCACACAAGCCTTATAGACAACGTTAAGTTCACACACAATTTTATTACGTATGACAAACTTTACGCTCTATATGCAGCACAGCAACGGCAGCGTTGTGATTTTGCTAACGCTTATATGATATCTAACCGAATGCTAACCATAGTAAGTATACCCAAGTCGCATGCGGGCCTAGTTGCTTTCCCGTTAAACTGGCTTAAGCCTTGTCAGTGAGGCACCAGTACCAGTTACAATTTTTTAGAAATTTTGAGCCGCATCTTAATAAAATATAGGAACCGTCATGAATTTATTATAAAACCTTTATGTTTTTTCTTTTAGTGAATATTTGTGTTCTAAAGGGCAGAATGGCCATCTTTTTTCTCTATCTGTTTAATGGAAGGAATTTTCACTTCATTCCCATGGCATACGAAGACCCATTACTTTCTCCAGTGATTCCCAACGCTGTAAAGCTGGATACTGAAATTTTATTCAATGCGGAGGCTTCGATCCCAAGCCCCACACCCAGTTCACCCCTCTACCCTCTGACTGGCTCGTATTTTCATAACCAAGCGAGTTTGATTCGTTAGATTTTTTTTAAGTTAAATCGATTGCTAGTTATAGCCACTTCAAATATTCTCTCCCAACTCATTTAGTGTCAAACTTGTTTTCCGACCACAATTCAGATCAGTTAAGTCGTACTACCCAAACACAGGGGTCAACAATTGGGCATCGCAGGGGATTAATTTCGGCTGGCTACGCGCCAATTTCCCGCGTAATGTTTTTAGGGAGACGTCACAAAACAATTGCTGTCCTGCAAAATGCGCGAAAGAAATTGAAATCTTATCAGAAATCTTTAAAAGTATCTAAAAAAGGAAAACTCGAGTCTTTTCAGAAAGAGAGCTTATACGGGATCCTGCGGATTACCATTTTGTTTTGAAATTGTGTCTGCACAAAATAATGCCGGAACGAAATGGCTTCAAAGTTTCGCTTTTTTTCAGCGCAATAATGCGGTAAAGAATTCGATGTGTATGGCATCACAAAGTATTGAAAATTTTTGATGATATGAAAATATTGTTTTTCGCGTTCTATTTTTCAATCAATTGTGCCCTTCAAAGAAAGTCAAGACATTTGATTGACATACAAGTGTTCTCAGCCAATTAGAATGTTCCGTTTGCAATTTGTTTGGACAAAACTCCTACCCCCTCCCACCTTCTTCCCCAATGGCCAAACGCTCAACGTTTCCGAGACATTGTCTAACAAAGAACATGGCATGAGGTACCTACATCAAAGATGACGCAGCTCAGAAAATTCAAGCGTGAATTTCATATAAAACAGATTTTCAAAATAGAGTCTAAAACAGTGCACGAGTAATTGGAGCGCAATGGTTTCCCTTGAAAGGTCGTAACTGACTGGAAGTTTATCATTTATTTCGCTAAATTGATTAAGGAAATATATGTAGACAAAAACTGAAAAACAATTTAAGAGGAGAATTAATCAATAGTAAGATGCGAATTGTCTAAACTGTATATACTGAAATTTCAAGTTCGTGTCGCCTAGAAAATCGAACAAATGATAGGCGTAAGGCTACTTTAAAATGCAGGAGCTACAGGTTAAAATATTCGCGCAGTTTAAGGTGTTTTTTGATGACTTTCCCCTCCCCTCCCCCTTCATTGCTTCTGTGCATGTTTCGGTGTGATATTTCGGTTAAATCGACACAGTCGTAACTACTTAACTATATGAGATAAATTCCTACTGTGCTTCATGTGCTTCATCAGAGGGGTTTTGATCGAAATTCGGTGTCCGTGAAGCGTAGTTGTTTGTGAAGTTGCGTACTTGCATATAACTGTTGCCTAGCGACGAAGGTTCGAGAGAGGACCTAAGATGTCTTGATTCGCTTTGATGGTGGCAAGATATTTTAAAAACGTGGGATCAAAGAGGCAGAACGCACCAAAGCGTAGCGGTTACAGGCCTAAGCAAAGAAACCCAGCGGAAGTTTGTAGGCGACCTTGTTGTAATCAACGAAATTACAATTCTCTAGAATCTCACGCAGACAACGGTGAGTGCCTGATTCATGTTCTAGACCGTCCATAAAATAATTATTTAAACATATCGAAAACAAAATTTGCCTTCGTCAAATAGAACCGCCTTGCGTGCAAACAATACGTTCTCAACAAATTTTTTCTTCTCGTTTCTTTTACTTTCGTTGCCAAGTTTTCGATAGCCAGAACAACGAGGTGTGGATTATGAGTCGTCTTACAGTCAGCAGCCTTGTATCTTTATGATAAACGAAAATGTTATTCATTATCTCCATTCGCCATGCGAAATACCATGGACGTTTAATTTCCATTCAATTAAGCTATCGGCAAGAAAGCATCAATTAATGCTGTGTTTAAAGATACTTTTAACGCAATGTCATGAAAAGAAAAACCAATAAGGACAACTGCAAATGAATTGTAGCGATTTCTAGCGTTCCATTTGTTCTATTTGCAGTCATAAATTCTTTAAACTTGATGACAAACAAGTGAAATGTACTTTCGTGTTTATAACAATTAATTACGTTCCAATGGCTGAGTTTTTCGTTCTTGAATGAAAATGATCCAATCGAAAAACAATTTATAAACTGATAATTGCAGAGTACACCAACCCGAACCGAACGTAAATATTCTAGTTCTGTACAAAGTTTAGATCAAGTTGAAGTAAAACAGATTAGATTTCATATCACTTGTACAACAAATACTTAGACTTTAACGCTGCATCCAGTATTTACTTTACACAGATATGTCGAGAGAATACAAAGCATGTCATATCTTTGATTATTATCACTATTTCGGGCATTTTGATGCATTTTGCAGGATGAAATAGAGATGTTGACACGTTTAAATGTTCGTAAATTGCTCGGCTAAAATGACTCTCAGTCGGGGCCAAATTTTATAAGTTCACAATACGCTGGCCATGTTTTAGCACACACAAAGAACGAAGAAATCCAGAATTTTCCTTTTCATCCTTTCTTTCGCTCCTGAAAAAATTATTACGATAAATAACTTTGATTTAGGAATTTCTTTCGTTCTAATTGTGACAGTTTGACTGACATTCCTTAGCTTTAACTTCATAAGTTGGAGTAAGACCACCAAGAAAAGGCTGAACTCTACGTCAAAATGGCTTGGCAGTGGATTTTACTCTCTCTCGTGACGTTCGCTTTACTGGTTGACGTCAGAGTTAAAGGTGAGATAGACTTCAGTTTTTTCCACAAATATAATCAGCTATGAAATATTTCATTCACTATCAAAGAATAATTAAGTGAGACCTGACTCCGAGTCAATTAGACCATTACCCGGGGTCTTGTTCGGTCTATTCCGCGATTCTTGACAAGCCTAAAACTGGCAAACACTTACTGAGAATTGTTCGACATGTTTACAAAACCTGCACACGACGAAATAGAGGTTCCCCAACTTTACGGTTTGAATAAAGTTTTAAAAGAATCAGTTGCTTGATGACATCGATGGTGTGGATAAGATGACTAAAGCAAAACTTAAAGAAAGGGGGAACATAGTGATATAAGAACGTCCCCCCCCCCCTTTTATTACAGTATTCAATTACAATTACTATAAGTTTCTGGCGTGAAAAGACAAAAAGTTAGTTAACAAAATACAATTGAGTACACGCGCGACAATTTGGCAAAGGAAATTGTGTTCAGTTCTTGGAGAAGAGGACCAAAATTGTCCATTCATCTTTTTTAGGATTCCACACCAATGGCAACTTGAAACCTGTTAACCCCACACCGTATTTATATTGATTAAATTTAATTAATAAATTATAAATAAATAAAAATGGGAAAGATGGTAAGTTTTCTGATAAATAATAATGCATCAAAACTTACTAAAACTTCTAAACAAACAATATCAAAACCTCTTATTGATTTTTGCTGGAACTATATTCATTTCAGACAGAGTACAAAAATGGGTCCATATGCCAAAAGATCGATTTAACCCGATTATTCATCTTTTCTAAGAAATGTAAAACTTCAGTTCCGACGCTTTGTCTTTGCATGTTTACCTCAGCTATTTACGGATCTTCTTACTTTTTGTCTTCAGGCATGTCAACAAGTTCAATTGTCTGCAACGCTAACCACACAGTAACTATAACCATTGCAAACGTAACTGACATCGATGCATTCAGCGAAAGTGATTGGCGAATAGATAACAAAACAGAATGTCAGCCGACATTCATGAACACGACGGTCACGTATACCAATTTGCAGGTGGCTGATTGCGCTTCAAAATCCGAAGATAAGACCACTTCTATCAGATACGTTTTCGAAATCCGTGCAGTTGTTCCAGGCAGCAGTCCGATCCAGGCCTTTGATCATGTAATTAACGCCGTGTGTGAGTACGTCAATAATGACACTGTCACATCCAGCTTCATACCTTTAGTGAATCGTGGCGACAACTCGTCAGGTATGTCGCGTTAGCTTGCTTAAAGTATACACCTGTAAAGAAACTGAGGCGTGTTTTGCGGTACATTAGATACAAAATAATAACACCTTCGTTGTGTAGCCTTCACGAGTTGGTGAAAACACTCCACATCATTTTCAGTCAATTTGCAGACCAAAAATAAAATTTGCAGAAGTTCCATGTAGAGATTTTATCAGTTATATACTAGATTATGGACAGAAATTTTAAGCAGACGTTTTGTGTGAATGTAATGTGAAGATTAAACTGATTTAAGCCTCAATCTGGGTAGAACTAACATTTGTTTCTTACTTAATCAGATGCTGCAGCTTTTACATTCAGCCTTGACGTTTTTGAGGACTCTGAGCTTAACAATCCTCTTCCCAGCGAAGTGAAGCTCAATCAACCATTGTTTTTCCGAGCTCAAGTGGAAACATCAAGCGCTGCACCAAACCTGGACCTCTTCATCTTGCAATGTAATGCGTCAAAGTCGAACGACGTAAATGTTCCGGACCTCGATGTTGTCCTTATTCAAAATGGGTTGGTACCTTCTTGAAGTTTCCCATAACAAAGCATAATTTATTTTATCATCTACACCTCTAAAGAGTATGAAAATCTACAGAGCAACCTGAACTTTCAAGAACCGTCCCCAATTGAAATTGAACTTAGACAAAGGACGCGGCCATTTTGAATCGTGCATAGCAACCTGAGCGCTTACCTGCGACGGAACAAAGTCTTACACAGCCTTCTTCTATCCACTCAGGATCTGCCTTAATAACAAGGCCTTACATAAAAAAAGCATTGTTGAATCTAATAATTACTTGAATGTGAAAACCGGTGCAACGGCTGATTGGGAATGGGAATGCGATCACGTGAAGTCACGTTGCTGAGTTGTTTTAAAAATGGCGGCGCTCAAGTCAAGCTTTTTTTTCATTTTATTTTTTCAATTTTGGTCAGGTTAGTATTTCTCATCCCTAATATCATTAAGGCCATTCTTTTCATCTTGGATTCAGATGTGGTAACGATACTGTCAGTCAAGACGCAGGTGACACTTTGAATTACATCTGCGCAGTCGACAGCACGCAGGAAACCTTTCAAGTGAATTCTTTCCGGTACTTTGGAGCTGAAGCCAACACTTTGGTCTATGTGCATTGCGATCTTAAGGTGTGCCTTGCAGATGCTGCGGATTCTGCATGTGAATGCCCGTCTTCGGCTGATTGCAACCCTAATGCTCGAAAACGGCGAGCAGTTGAAGTTGATGAATCTGTGGTGTATCGCGTCACGATTGGTCCTTATTATTACAAGAAGGTAGAGAGAGACGACAAAGGTGAGTTAGTTTTCATGACATCACGTTTGATGTTGTTTTGCTCTCATAGGGTGGTTCAATTTTCAAGACCGTGGGACACTAAAAAATTATGAATCGCCTGTAGGGATTGAAGCCTTAGACTCTCGGCCAATTTTTTTTAAGTCGAAGGGGTCACATGTCTTTGCCTGGCATACTTCATATTCAGAAGCCATAAAGTCTTGTTAAACATGGATGAATTCTTTTCTCACAAAATTCTTTTTTTATTTTGTATACAGATCACAACGACAAGAAACCTGAAACAAGCGAAGACAACTCTTCATTTCAACTCAGTTTAAGCGTTGCCATAGTTTTCTCAGTCAGTAGTGTCATCATAGTATCAATTATATCCCTTACCGTGTGCTTCATTTCGCGCGGACATCACCAGCGTTCTTCAATCACCGAGTTGAACAAGGGACTTGATCACAGTTTGAAAACGTAAATGCCTCAGAGCCGTTCCCTCAAACTTTTTTTGTCTTAATATGAAGCATAAATCAATTATTAGAGAATTACTACCTAGGTTCAATCTTCGCTGTTTTCATGGCAACGAGAATTATGCACGATCAATTTTAAATGATGTTTTTCTTTTTCTTTATGGTTGTTGATATTCAAAAGATGTGCACTTTGCTAAAGCTATAGTATTATACCCATTCTTGTCAGGATTTGCTGCTTAATTATTGGGTTGGAAATATCTCGTAAAGTCCATCAGTAAGATTTAGAGAAAATGGAGACTAAACTGAAAGGAAAGACAACGATAAGATGTTTATATTTGGCCCTCATAGAATTAATGTTAGCCTCCTCAAAGGTTCACCAAATGATGATGCAGTTTTGTTCAACCATCGGAAAGATAGTGGTCTTAAATATCATCCAAAGGAATTAACTATGTCCTTTCTTTAGACTTCACGATCAGGGTCAGGTTTATTAGTCAGGCCAGTTAATTTCAAGACCAAAATGTTACAATATAAAGCTTCAACACCTATATTAAGTAATTTTAACCAGCTTCCGCTGCCCCAATTTACTAATGGGAGATAATAACATTACCACCAAAATATTTTGGTTTACAATTGTAAAATAAAAAGACAAAAGACATGTTTTTTATCTATTTTGTTGTTGATGTTTTTGATATTTTTCTCTTCATTTGTTTTCTTGCTTTTTCGGTTGTCGCGGTTTTTTTTCTTATTTGTTTGGTTTTTGTTTTGTTCCTGCTGTTTTTGTTTTCATTCGGTTTATTCTGGTAACATTTTAGATACAGCCCTAGCTTTCCCCCCACAAAAAAGCTCTCTAGGAATATGATTTTCATTATTTCTGCTACGCTATTTTCTTTTCTTTTTTCCGATTAGGGTAAACGTTTTACAAGGATTTAACGCTTGTTCCAAAATTAAAGACTTTCAAAACCCTTTCACTCCAGTGGTGATCAGTAATAACATCCCCTGGCATCTTTAATATATTGACAACAATACCAGTCTTGGGAACTGAGAACGTTACCATATCAACTAAATTATATTTGCCGAACAAAAACACAGATTCTCATGATTCCGAAAAAAAAGCTGTTCGCAATCAGTGGACTCATCAAGGAGATCTAGTGTTTTCATGATCTAGACTGGTTGTCAATCTTTTGTTAACTTGCTGATATAATGGGAACGATCAATCACAGCTTACGTGGAATTTTAGTTCAGAATGCACTATAAATCATAACCTTTTGCAAAAAGTTTGAGGTTGATGCCAGAACATCGAAATAAATCACTAATAAATAAATAAATGATGCTAAAATGCAAGCATAAAGAGCTAATTTATAAATCTAATTTCGTATCTAGTTACATTTAGAGTGAAATGAGACGGAAAACAAACTGGAGAAGTATCAAAAGAAGTCTGTGTCACGTAGTTGATCATTATTTGATTCCTAAGACTTCTCATCAAAAGCCTGATATTCATTAAAAATGTCCCCTCTGAGGATCTTATTCTCATAGACATGATCTCTTGGGTATTTAAAGAGAGACGCACAAAGAAATCCTCCCTTTCTTCTACAATTATTCGAATGGTATTGCAATCATTACTTAAAAACTATTCGAATCCAAAAGAACCTTCGGTTCCTGATGCATGACTTTTGATGGTACTCCAGCCGCCTGTTGGCTGCACTGACGGGAGGTCTAAGTGCAAACGCACTTTGTTAAGAGTAATTTGTAAATAAACAAAACTTTAACATTTTTTTTCCTTGTTAACTCCAATTATACCTGGGTTTCGTTGAGCATCGTCGTTGGATCAGTCCGAAATCTCGTACTTCTTTGAGTCAAGGACATATTCACTGGAGCCACTCGAAGCGCTTGATGTATCGTCACTCGGCGTCTGCAGCGGCTTAGAAGCCTTACAAACGTTTTTCGCAGTTCTAAATCGCGGAAGGCGTACACTAATGGATTCATGGCGCTGTTACTGTACTGGAGCCATTTTGAAAACAGAAGGAAACCCGAGAGTTTATGGAAAGGAAAGCACTGTCTGCAAAACACCGAAATGGTGCTCACTGTAAAGAAAGACAACCAAGAAACGAGAAAAAGCGCAGTCACAAATGTAAGGGTGAGGGCTGTGCGGCGTTGTTTTTTTAAGTTCTTGCGTATTTTGTTGCTTTCTTCCTGATTTGCTATTGTTGGAAGATTGGAGATCAGCGCCCGAGCCACCTTAAAAATGGAAATGTTGACAACGCTCACAAGAATTCCTGGTCCAACATAACCAACGAACAACAAAAACGGAGTGTAAATTCTGTATGGACTATTGCTCGAGTCACTCGAAGATTTATGCAGGGCAGGTCGAATTGCTGCTATCACGGAAGCTGTCATCCAAACACAGCATATGACTATCGTATAATGTGTCGTGGAGAGTACTTCGTGAATAAAGGGGCGCGAAATGGCCAACCATCGTTCCAGGCTAACGGTTGTTAGATGAAAGATTGAAGCCATTGCACTTAAGATGTCGAAGGAGATGAAAAACGTATTCAGAGGTCCATAATGTGTGCCTGTCAAACTGACGTATATCCACAGAGGTAGAGATACACATCCCACCAGTAGATCCGAGATAGCCAAACTCACCAGAAACGTGTAAGTACCAGTGCGGAGTCTTAAGTTTGAAAAATACGATGCCACTACAAAAGAATTTCCAGTTATGATCACAAACATGAGAGCCACGCAAAACAGTATCTGAAGAGCTGAGCTCCAGGACATTTCAACCACCATCATCTAATTAAGCTAAAAAAAACCCTGTTAAATTCGAGACATTGCTAGTTATGAAGAAATATGCTTCACAATCGCAAAATCTTCATCCTGATCTTCATTTGCAAAAGTCCACAAATCGACAACTGGAGTTTTAATGTTGACTTTGACGTTGTTAGGGTTGCAGAAGTAACCTCTTGCTTTCTTGTTCTCAATCAAAAGCTGATAAAGACCAATTCTTCTAATAAGTGTTCCGTTATCTGAAAAGAACAAACGACAAAACTGAACAAATTTGTCGGGTTTGCTCTAAAAAGGATGGAAACCCATCAGTGATCTCTTTCACATTGCCACAATGAAAAGGACACATTTAGTCATCAGAGAGCGGGAGTAATAGTCACCTTATGAAAACAATTCCAAACCTTATGCCAACAAGACTGGGAAACTGAACGATCAATTTCACTTCACCGTTTATCACGTCCTCGAAGGTGTCTTCGCTTTTCAAGTAATGATAAACACCCTTCTACAAAATTGGTTCCCATGCTTTGTTTTATGCGAGGACAATCGAGAAGACACTCCATTTACAAAGGAAATGGTTTGCCTTAGTTTTAATCAATTCTCGTTCGGTTGAGTACACAGCTGTCCGTGCTGTTAGCAGGGCTTTAGAAATGCAAATTATCGGGAAAAGCCTTCATTCTTCTCCAATCACCACTTGATTAAACGCATTAATTGATAAGAAACTTTTTCACCTCAGGAATAAGCTTTTTTATGCCATTCCCTTAACAAAACAATAGGCAAATACAGTACTGAAAACGATCTTCATTCTCAACTTAGATAAAAAGAAATATTTTGCAGAGGCACTGCATTTATTCAAAAGCTAGAAAAAACATCACCGGTTTATGATGACATTGTGTTTCATTCATGGCCAGCTATTGACAGATCTTGAGTGAAAGTTGACAATGTACCTTCCGTTAATCCCTCATATTTCATAACATTATCATATTATGACACTCTTGGCATCAAAGCTCTCCAAAAAAAAATTTACCTGTGACCTTTTTATTGTTTTATTCTGTTTTATGTTTCTTTTTTCTCGTTGGCTCAAATGCGGCTAAGCCCAACATTTCGATTGTAGAAACTAGGGTTCATAATTACAATTATCTTGCGCGACATGTCAACCTTGAATATTTTAAAGAAATTGTTTATGGCTAAAACATATTCAGAAAAAGGAATTTCCGGCGGCGTATCTACTATACTGAAGTCGAACCATGCCATATCAGCTACAGTATCGCAGGCTGAGGGTATGGAGATCATCCACAGCCTGAGTGCTTCTATGACATGCTGCGATCGATGGAATAATTTTGCGCAATAATGGAAGTGAACATGGCATACTTTTGTGCCGGACTGTTGATAAAAGTAAACGTTATTTTTCAGTTAGAACACTTTCCTTCTCGGGATGATAATCACATAACCTGATACGATGCATGGTTAGACCATCAACAGGAAATTATAAATTCAAATCACAAAGTCATAGATTGGACTCCTCCCACGTATTTTTTTTTTCAAGTATATCAACGTCAAACATTGTCTGAAGAAACATCTTCACTACGACGAATGGCTTTCGCTCGAAAAGCTAGCTTCAGGAACTCTTTACCTCGGCCAATTTACATTATCAACTCAGATTTAATACCTGGCGGCATAGACGCAGCACTTAAGTTTCTTTAGAAAGTTACCCCTTGAAAAATATCATAGTTCACTTTTATTACCAGACTTTAATGGATCCTACTTCCTTCCGTCAAACTAAAGTTTAGTAATTGTTTTCAAAAGTCGGAATTATTTTATCTCAAGCTCGACATGGCCTAGCTCATCGAAGATCTATTAAGAGCAGGGATTTAGGAAGAAATATGGAAATTTTTTAGATTAATTAAGGCTAAGATATTTTTTATTGCACATAAAAGTTAGAGTATTATATAGATGTGACACACAGTGATGTTTTTCGCAATTTAGAATGTTGACGAGGCATTCATTAAATTGACAACTCGGGTAAAGTGAATTTAAATTCCGGTAGAAACAATAAAAGCTAAATAGCATCCTTTTGTCCAACTTTCAAACTTGGCAATAACTAAACAATCATAATAAATTTTAAAGGTGATTTTTGTCAGTTAGGTTATTAAAATTAAATGGTATTGCTAAATGTGAGAAATATATATCCCCATAAATTACCTAATTTCCTACAGCTTATGAGATTCGATTTTTATCGCAAGGAAATTTTTCATGTCATGTCATCTGAAAATTACTCTGGCACTTTTTCGAATAATTCTTCACATCATAGTGTTATAAGATTGGCCACAATTTGCTGGAAAATTAATCGTGCAAGGATATCTTTTTTATAAATATATACTTTCATCGTGTTACCATTATTTTCCTGCAAAAACATCTTAAGCAAATTCAGCCGAGAAAAAGCACTAAAAAATAAGAATTTTTCAGGTCTTGATATGCATATGAAATAGGTAGGAAAAATAAAACATGCCTTACGCTACGATGTTTGAAACGTTCGAGAAGACTAGGAAGTAGAGAATAATCTTTAGAAGTCTTTAAATACGGGGAATTAGTTAAGCTCAGTTTTTAAATCTGATTTCTTAAAATTGTAATAAGAAAAATGGGCCCAACTTATGCCTACTGTTCCTTTCAATATGTGCAGTTTTTCGAAACCTATACTCTGTGAGCCATCGAATAAACGAGAATATATATTTATTTTCATGCAGAGTTTGATGCTCGTGTTTGATTCATGTCGGGTTAAAATCGAAGAAATAAAATCATACAGGATGAGTATTCGCCAAGTTAAAATTTCACGAAGAAAGACAATGTCGATAGTGAAAATGAAGTAACTTTAGTATGCTACTAGTTTCGTTTGAATCAAATAAGCTATTGATGAAGAATTGCAAACTTACATTGTGAGGAATATTCTGTTGACGATCCCTATTCTGAGAAAACTGTTCCTGTGGAGCTGTTCAGACTGTCATTTTAAAGAACGCTCCTGTTTGTTCGAAGGTTTTTTTTTCTATTACGATGACAATAGTTTGGTGATTAAAGCAAAGTTTGATCGAAATTGCTCGCAATTTCTGAGTTACCAAAACCAACAAACGAGCTTCGTTGTCAAATCTTAAATCAACAACAACAGCCAATGGAATGATAAGTTTAGCGATTTTACTCTTCTCAATTAAAAGAATATGTTAAAAAAAGGAATATTCCTAAAACCTGACAGCGTTTCACTAAGGTATCTGGAAATCATTGCAGCTCAAGCTAAGAGCATGATGCTCTTAAAAAGATATATCTAAACCCAAGATCAATTTTTTTTATCAGCGTCATAATCAAAATTTCATAACGAAGCATTTTCCAGATCGCCAGTGTATTATTTTACGTCTCTCTGAGAGTGAAATAAATTTATTCGTATGTGTTGCTAATTGATCAGCTTTGGAAACCTGAAAGCATTGTTAAATGCTTGCAATTTCTGATCTTGAAATTCGAAGAAACGAAATGGTAAAGTCGTGATCTTCGAAACTGCGATCATTCGAATTGATTTTTGGGATGATGTTACCCTGAGCCCTGAAATATCAAGTTTTTTTTTTACAAAAATAAAGAAAATAAAATGCGTCTAAAAAAGGTGCGCTCCAATTATGGAAAAATACTCGTCATCATTGGACCATCATCACCAATTCGTATAACGAGAATTTGACGAGTATAAACGCGTGGATTTATTATAAAATTATTAAAAATGAGTCGTAAAAAGTCATGCTGGCATGTAGACAGAGAACGACACCTTAACGAAGTATAGATGAAGGCTAGATAACCGCAAACAAACAGCAGAGAATAAATGCTTACCGCAAGCAAATATCGGTGAGTAATTACGAACAACAAGCAAATCAAACAAATCTAAGGTATGTATATGCTATATTTGCTCACTTCAAAGGAACTATATATGTGAACAGTATTCTAACACGATGCATCGACCCATGCTCTCTACAAACTATTCGTGATTACGTCCTCAAATCTCTTTTGGCTCTCCTAATAATATTCTATGAATTATGAGACCTTAAAGGAGAAGTCGTCATTCCTTATGTAATTCGAACGTCGTAATTGGAATTAGCATATTGACTTGGTATTCAGTTTTTTCTAAATTGAATGAAAAAAGTGTTGGAGACTGAGACCCACTTTAAACTCCAAATACTTTTAAAATACTGCAAAAAGGTTTGAACTCCGACTCATTTTTTTTTTAAGCTGCAAGCTAGATACCAGAATGTTTATAAGAAGGCTTTAGAAACTATAACATAAGCATCAGTAGAAACTACTTTGTAGTTTGGTAAACTACGATTGAGGATATGGATGATTGCACCTTTGTGAAGACATCTACGTGGCTTTGCCGATGTATCCAAGCAATAGAATCGTCGGCCTATACTGACGTAAAAAATATTCCCCACGTGAAATCTTTTTAGTGAATTTTACACGGCCTCAAATTACATATTTCTCATAGTTACCTTAGCATAGTCTTTCGCAATCGTAAGGATAATTTTAAAATTGGAAAACAATGTTATCATTGAAGGATGGGAACTTTATTGTCAAAGTGATGAATTAATTACCTGATCGAACATTTGATTAAAATTTGAATACTTATACCGTATGTTAAATAACATGTTCCCCATTATTGTATGAGGTTGAGGTGTGGCGGCGTGGGAGAAGGTAAACGAAATATTTGATGTTGATTTTTATACAGCCACTCAGGTTTTTCAGAGTTTTCAAAGCTCATTAGTGTTACTATTATTAACATGTTTTAATCGTTTAAGTAACGATAGTCGTTTAATTCAAAAAAACAAACAAATAAGCATCTCTGAGGCTAGAAATTTTATAATAAAAAAGATGAATTGATTACTAGATGGAAGATTTCATAAAAAAAGAAAATAAATACATGTACCGTATGTTACAGCTGATTATTATGGGACCTCAAGATAACCTTTCGAATGCAAAAAGTTCGTGAAACTTATTCACTTGCGTCGATTAAAAGTAACCTCAAGAACGCAAGAGACATTTTCCCATGGAACGAAAACCACTACGATTTCATAAAAAGCGAGATTATAGTTAAAAACTTAAATTTCAACGAAGGGAAATGTAATTTTCATCTAGAGCCGTTGCCAAAAAAATATGGTCCCGTTTCTTCGACATATACCCATTTCATCAAAATCTACGCGGCTAGTTGAGCAG